AAAAACTTAAAGTCTATTGCCTATCAAAGGAAATGCTTTATCTATTAATATTGATTTTGGGCCTTATCAAGAAATTTTAGTAGATTCGAGCCATATATCTAATGACTATAATCTTATCTTCAGCTCTTTGACCCTGTCTTCCATTTTTGCTGCCTAATGCAAAGCCATATTGATTTGTCTAAACAAGTGTTTCAAATGTTCTTGTTTTACCATGGATGCATTTTTTCATTGTTCTATTTCGCTAAAGTATTCTTGTAACTTTTTTTCTAGAATAAAAACTTAAGCTCTGACCTCATTGAAAATTTTTTGAAGCATCCGGTTATAGTTTTAAACCTCTACAAATACATTTTTCTTTTCTTATATTTTTGCTTGCAATTGTTCATTCTCCTTTAAAGGTCAAGCTAGTTCAAGAGTGGTCAAAGAATGTATCTTATTCAGATCAACAAACAAATTCTTCCATCATTCTCTATCTTGACTGAGCTTCTAAATTTTTCTATGTTGCCTTTGCAAACTTTCTTTCATTTCTTTTTTAAGCCTTTTGTTTTCGTCTTCCAATTCTTCTTTCTCTTCTTGTAACTTTCTCTTTGAAACTTTTACCTTTAGCAACAAATCTCGGGGTTTTGAAAGAACTGAACTTCTTCGACTACTTGGACTACCTTTATCTAGAACCACAATATCTTTAGCCCACCTAGCGTGCCACACAGAATATTCTAGGTTAATTTTATTCATATGCTTGCCTCAATCCATTCTTTTTATTTATTTTCATGCTTGGATAATCTCTTTCGCTATGTTGATGGAAGATGGTTCACCATATGCAAAGCATAATTGATATTTACTTAAATTTTGCTATTTATTCAAAGTAATTATTATTATTATTATTATTATTATTATTATTTTGAAAAAATTATTTAATATTTCTAACATTTTTAGAATATTTTAGAAAATTTCCTTACCTAAATATTTTCAATACTTGTGATTTTATTTTAATTTTTGTAGTTGGAAATAATTTTATTTTACTAAAACATTTTATAAAAATTTTATTGAAAAATTTCTCAAAAATATTCCCAACACTTTTTTAGAAAATTCCTTGACTTGAGATCATCTAAAAAATCACCACTTATGACTTTATTTTTATTTCATCATTTTGTTTATATTCATTTTTTACTTCTATTTATTCTTGCTCATTATTCAAAATTTCATTATTATTATTATTATTATTATTATTATTATTATTATTTTAAAAGGTCTTAAATTGTAAATTAGAATATTCATGAAAATAAAATGAATAATATGAAAATATTTTATAAAATTAAAAAAAATACCAATTTTTTTATCAATCAACACAAGTCAACTTGGGTCAAGGCCAATCAATGGCACACAATCAAAAATTTACAGTAATGGTATGGTGTAGTTCAGTAAGCAGTCCCATTTAGTTTAGTAGCAATCTAGCTTGGTTTGGTGCCAAGTTGATGGTTCCTCAGGCGAGTCAATTGTGTAGATCTCAGGTCGAGCTTCAAGTCAGCACATGGATCTCTTCCTTTTAAAATGATGTCATTTTAGTTGGGTAATATAAAGCCTAAAAAAGATTTATTTTTATTTTTTCTCTCTTTTTTCTATTTTTCCCCTTCTCTTTAACTTCTCTCTTTAAAAAAATTCCAAAAGCCGATGGGTTACCTAGAATCGATGATTGTCCACCATAACATCTGTCGCTCGCTGTCATTTGTGGCTAAAAAAATCTTAAAATTCAAGAAATGTTCCCTTTATCACCTTTAAAATCGATCTGAGCCTAGTTTTATGAAAATTGATGCTAAACAGCCTAGATCTGTTTTGAAAGTTTTGGTCAAAAAAAATTTTCCCATCGATTTTTCTTCTCTGATAGTCCCTATTTTTACTACGTTGCTGCCCTTCCCTATATCTCTTTTTACTTCAAAAAGCATATCTCAAAACCCACTGTAACATCCAAATCTCTTTCTCTTTTTACTTTGTATTTTTTCCTTTGCTTTTGACGCTATTGTTCTCCTCTTCAGAGATGTGTTTTTTATGTGTGTGTGATTCTTTTTTATGATTTTAGATTGGTGCAGAGCTAGACTTGTTTTGGTTAGGGTTATGGATTTTGGTTCTACTAGGGTGGTTTAGGTAATGGCAATGAGATTGGTGTTGAATGGGTGATCTCTTGAAATGTGGGAAGTTTGATGTTTGGGTGGTGCTCGATTAGTGAAGATTAGCAATAAGGTGAGAATTTTTTGCAGAATTCCTTGTCTCAAAGTTGTTGTCCAATTCTTCCTTGTGTTTGTGATTAAGGCTCCATTTAAAAAGTAATATGGAGTTCAAGTTCAAATCCCAAATTTTCTAACATTGAGGGAGAAATTTTGAGCTACCATTAGTGACTTTTAGACGTTATGATTTTTATTGCAAAGTTAGATGGGTGTCAAGGTAAGAGATGCTAGAAACTTGAATTCAACTACCGACAGCTTGAATTCAGTTGTTCAAGCCATCTGTTTGACTTTTGAAATTTCTTTACCTTTATTTTTAAAATGAAATTAAAATAAAATAGAATAAAAAAATGAAAATAAAAATTGAAATTGAAAATTAAGAAATATTTTTGGGCTCAAAATTTTCATTAGGCTTTAAAGCCCAAATAACTTGGACAATGGGATTTTAAGGCAGAATTATTTAGAATCGGATTTAATTATAGTTTGACCCATTTGATTGCCTAATAAACCTAAAAGATGTATCAAGACAATAATCAATAGTAATGTTTGAATCGGCCTAAACCAAGTACATTCAAGTAAAATGGAAATCGTTTAGTAAATCAATTTGGACAAATTTTGGTGACCATAGCTAAAATAAATAATGAAAAAAACTAGAACTAAAAAAAAAATTATCTAAGTAAATAAATTGAGCTAAATTAATAAGAAATGGCTCGATTCTGACTCGATTTTTTTAATTATTCAACCCAACTTCTATTTCAACGAAACATTGTATTATTCTTCAGTAATACCTGATCCAGGTCCATCACATATATTTATAATTCATATTTTGGGCCAAATTGGCCCAAATTTATAAAAAATTAATTCTATAATTTTAATTTAGTATAATGTTTATGAAAATATTATTTTTGTAATATAAATAATTATGTATAAATATAGTTTTTATTAAAATAAAATATTAAATAATAAATTTATTAATATAATACATATATAAATGTAAAAAGAAATAAATAATAAAATATATATATATTTATATATACTTGAGTTAGAATGAAACATCCTAAACCCGCCTACAATATGAGCCCATTTTTCTCAAAAGAAAAAAACACTCGACTCAATCCTGGATTTAAAAATGCACTTATTGCATCAAGTGAATTGGAACTCATCAAATATGAGTTACTTTATCATCTCTACCTTCATTAAGTTTTTGTTACAAAACTTATTTAATTCAAACAATTAAAAACTAAAAAAAAAATAGAAGAAAGAAAAGAAAAGAAAATGAAGCCAAAAGTGACTTCCACACGGATTTATTAAATTAAAATATTAAATAATAATTTTATTAATATGATACATATATAAATATAACAATAAATAAATAATAAAAATCTTTCTTCATATATACCTAACGTAAAACAAAACATCTTAAACCTATCTTTGACTTAATCTCATTTAAAAACCTATAAACCGATTCTAATTTTTTTTTTTTTAAAATGCACCTATATTGGGTCGGAGTGATGGAAATTCACCATATATGAATTGTTTTGTAATTTTTAGCTACATTGATTTTATCTTACAAATTTATCTTACAAAAAAAAAAGGAAATAAAAATAAATAAAAAACTCTAAAAGCTCTTTTATTGGATTGGAACAAATCAAAATCCATAAAATATACTCCTTTATTGGATTGGGATAAATCGAAATCTATAAAATATAAATTGTTTTGTCATCCTTAACTATATTAATTTTTTTTATAAAATTTATCTTATAAAAATTAAAAACTAATTAAAATAAAAAAATAAAAAACAAAAAACAAACAGTAGATTTTGGAGAAAGATAGGGTGCAACGTGAACTCCCTCAATTTTTTTTGTTAAATTTACAAAATTAATATTATGAACTTACACATTATTTGAAATTCTTTTTCTTAAAAATACAAAAATTATGACTTTTTCAATTATTTGCAATATATATATATGGCTGAATTTGATTTTTTTTCTTTTTTTGGCCAAAATGAGAATAGGAAAAGGGCTAACAATTAACATAGCTGAATCTGATATTCAATCTAGCAAGAATGACAAGCTATTTCTTGATAATCAATAGTTTCATAGTGAAACCTTCTGTAATAAATGCAAACAGTTACAAAATGCTCAACCAAAATTTCATAGATTACAATATTGAATTCAATATTTTATTTTGAAAAAAAAAATTGTAAGCATTAGTATATACTAATAATTATTAATATATTAAGGTAATGCATCAAGCAATTTAAAAAAAAAAAAAAAAGTAATGCATGCAGCACATAACTAGTAGTTCTTCTATTTCAAAAAAACATGTTTTAGAAAAAATTTAATTTGATCATTACCTTTTTTTAAAAACAAAAATTTAATGGTTTTTTACACCAAATATCGTAAAACAAATATTAAACTACCAAATATCTGGAAAAATCTCATAACAAGCATAACTTTTCATCAAATTGTTTTTTCACTTTTACTTACTAATTGTTTTTTACTAGTTCTTTTTTTCGATAAGGAAATGGTTGTATTTATTTTTAAAAAAATAAAATGTTATTAAATTAAAAGTATTCTAATAAAGGATAGAAAAAATCATTCATCAAGAACCGTGTTTCTTCCGCGTTATTGTTAAAGAGGAAAATGTAACAAAAACAATTAATGATGGCAAATACATAATAATGACTTCATATCGTTCCCCAAGTGCAAATTCTAAACAGTAGTGGACTAGAAAGCAAAGTATATAAAAATTTTGCTTTTCTATGTTATAAAATGTGGAAAAATAGTCGTATACAAAACGAATGCCAAATGGCTAGGATCGTTCTCTGACTTGAATTCTAACTGTGTGCACGAGTTGGAACCGGACTTCCCTTCCCTGTCCTCGTTTCTCTCCTTTTCACTTCTTCTCTTCTCTTTTCCTCTCCTATACACTTCTCGTTCAAAGGTACGTATGTCTCAACTTTCGTCAGCCTATTCATTTTACTTTTCCTTTTTGGGGTTTCTTTCTATCGAAATCTCCATTAATGTTTCCTGGTGTTAACTTAATTCTGCTTTTTTGCACGAATATGGAAAAACATGCAGATTCTGAGTTTTTTTTCTTCAAAATTATCCCGGTCCGTTTTTAACGTTTCAATGAACTTTTCATGGATCTGAATATAACAAGTTAACAACACTCAGATTTGCCATGGCTACGGTTACTTTGTATAATATCTCTGTTTTCTCCATTAGTTTTTCATCTTCTTTAATATCTGCTCTCAAAAATAAATCAGTTCTCAGTAAATATGCTCAGTTTTAGGTTTTAGATCCGCTTGCAGATTATATTTATTTTATACTTTTTCATTGATGGAGTTTTAAACTTGGAAACGTTATAATAATGTCATCAGGCTCAGGCTTGACGGTTCTCTTGTGAATTCCAAATCACGAATACAAAATTTTGGTTTAGTGGCTAAATGTTATCCTGCACTGATTTTTTTTATTCTATATGGGGGTCCCCACATTATTAAAAGAAAGAATTATAGCAATCTGTTCATTTATTGCTTCTTGTTTTGTGGATTTAAAGGGGTTTTGAAGAGTTGGAGAGATTACCATTCTTTTAACCTTATATATTCTATTATTTGATGTCTGCCCCGCCTACTGTAAGTTGATAAGTATAGGAACTTGGTATGACCAGATCTTATAAGATTAGTTTGAAATTAGTTTCGTTTGGTAGAATCCAAATTCTTAATATCTTCGCTGTAACGACTCTGTTTTTATCTAGTGATTCTTTCATTAACTTCAAGAATTCTACAATCTTTTTATAACCGCTTACTTTGTTCATATTCCTTTTAAAAACAAATTGAGTGTCAGCCTTCAAGGGGTAGAAAGTTTGCTCCAAAGACAAGATGGTAGCTGACGATATCTATACAAATAATGGGACTGTGGATTTCCATAAGAATCTTGCCAACAAGAACAAAACCGGGAATTGGAAAGCCTGCCGTTTCATTCTTGGTATGATTTTACGCTTTTTTTAATCCTTGTTTAAATATCTATGTCTATATCTATATATATATATATATATATATATATATTTTTTTTTTTTTTCTTTGCCTCATATGTGGCTTCTAATTTGCTTTGCATTTGTTGAACTCTAAAATTTCGTCAGGAAATGAATGCTGTGAACGGTTGGCATACTATGGAATGGGGACCAATCTGGTCAACTATCTCGAACAACGTCTCAATCAGAGAAATGTCACTGCATCAAACAATGTTACGAATTGGTCTGGAACATGCTATGTTACACCATTGATTGGAGCCTTTTTAGCTGATGCATATTTGGGTAGATACTGGACAATTGCTAGTTTCTCAATCATCTATGTCTTTGTAAGTTTGTCCTCAACACGGAATTTTTCTTTTCTTTTTTTAATCGATGAGGTACTTAAAGGCTTGGAATACTTATGTTGATGCCATCTTCTAGAGGCTAGATTGTGGGAGTATTCTAATGTTTAGTTCTGTCAAGTAAAAATAAATTGACTCAATGTATTGATTATTTGTCTTTCTTGAAGGGTATGACACTCTTAACGTTGTCTGCTTCTGTCACTGGACTAAAGCCATCGTGCAATGGGGATGTCTGCCACCCAACATCAGGACAAACTGCAGTCTTCTTTGTAGCGCTATACATGATTGCTCTTGGTACTGGTGGAATTAAGCCATGTGTCTCATCCTTTGGTGCTGATCAGTTTGATGAAACTGATGAGATAGAGAGGAAAAAGAAGAGCTCCTTTTTTAACTGGTTTTACGTCTCAATCAATATTGGAGCACTTATTGCTTCATCTGTTCTAGTATGGATACAAATGAATGTGGGCTGGGGCTGGGGTTTTGGAATCCCAGCTGCTGCAATGGCTATTGCGGTTGTACTCTTCTTTTCTGGTAGTCGAATGTATCGTCTTCAAAAACCTGGGGGAAGTCCACTCACAAGGATTTTTCAGGTTATAATTTCATCCTTCAGAAAACTCAATGTGAAAGTTCCTGCAGATAAAACTCTTCTTTATGAGACTGCCGACGAAGAATGCAATATTCAAGGGAGCAGAAAGCTAGAGCACACAGATATGTTGAAGTATGTTGTTAAAGCTCAACAAGTATGAAATTTCATTCCTGAACATATTCTCTTTTATGAGCAGCACCCCCACCCTTGCTTATACTTTGTTCATACACGCAACCTTGCTTTTTATTTAGTTTCATTTCATCTTTTAGTGTCAAATTTGATTGTTAATGTAGTCATTAATATTTTAAAATTACAGGTTCTTTGACAAGGCTGCCGTAGAGACTCAAAATGACTATGTTAAAGGATCAGTAAATCCATGGAGACTGTGCACAGTAACTCAAGTTGAGGAGCTCAAATCAATTATCGGGCTGCTTCCAATATGGGCATCAGGAATTGTCTTTGCTACTGTTTACAGTCAAATGAGCACTATGTTTGTTTTGCAAGGCAACACAATGGACCAACACATAGGCCCACACTTCAAGATCCCCTCGGCATCTCTCTCCCTTTTTGACACCCTCAGTGTTATCTTTTGGGCTCCTATATATGACAAAATCATTGTCCCATGTGCAAGGAAATTCACCGGGAATGAGCGAGGTTTCACCAAGCTCCAACGAATAGGCATTGGCCTTGTTCTTTCTATCTTTGCAATGATCACTGCAGGTATCTTGGAGGTGATCCGGCTCAAAATTGTCAGGAAGAACAACTACTATGATCTTGAGTATATTCCCATGTCAATCTTCTGGCAAGTCCCACAATACTTTATAGTCGGATGTGCCGAAGTTTTCACGTTCATTGGGCAGCTAGAATTTTTCTATGACCAGGCACCTGATGCTATGAGAAGCTTGTGCTCAGCACTGTCACTAACAACTGTTGCAGCAGGAAACTATTTGAGCACTTTGCTTGTTACCATTGTAACTAAAGTGACCACTAGAAACGGGAAGCTTGGATGGATTCCAGATAACCTGAACAGGGGTCATCTTGACTATTTCTATTGGCTCTTGGCTATCCTCAGCCTGGTTAACTTCGTGGTGTATCTTTGGATTGCAAAGTGGTATACATACAAAAAAATAACTGGACGAACGCCCTTACTCACACAGTAAATCCTAGGACTTCAATATGCCTTCATTGAAATTTGCATGCTTGCTTTGGAGATTTCAATTTACTTTGTCGAATTTGCAAATTATTTTAGATTCTTACTTGTTTGTTTCAAAGGGGAATTACAGTTCTTGTAAATAATGTTAGTGACATTTAATTCTCGATCTGGTGTCGGACTGCTATTTTCTGTTGGTACAAATAGATCACAATTATATGTCTTTAGGTATTTTTTGTTTGATTTTTGTTGATGGTATTTTTGGTGACGGTGAGCGGGATAAGGATTTGAAAATTGAATTGGAACTAGTTTGGACTTATAACAAGAAAGTACGATTAAGGGATGTCAGAGTTTGCTCTTTGAGACACATTTCGATACTTAAGTTAGTCAAATGTTTTAGGGTTCTTAGAGGAAAAAGGTAGGTTACAGAGGCACGGAAGAAGTTTGAGGATGAAAGATTTAGAATCCTATATTTGGACCTTCTTTTTACTTTATATATGAGATAATGGACAATGACAAGATCAGAGTAGGTGACAGTTGATAAAAAGTCCATGCGGAGCACAATAAAGGGTCACGTGGTTGAGTGTGACTGCTAGACTTGGTAATTTGTGTCATTGTATCGTGTAAAATACTGTATTAATGTCGTGTTTTACATAAAAATCACTTGTTATAGTTCTTGTCAACACAAAAATATAAAATATAAGTTTTTGGTTTTATTAAACCTGTTTATGGTTTTTCTAAAATTTTAAATCATGTTATCTCCAAATCTTTTATTTGTATTATTTTTGTATCGTATCACCATGTCATGTTTCAAATTGTCAAGTTTAATAATTTTATTTAATAATCCCAGGCTAGCATAAGGGTTAGTTGATCAATAGAGAGGTGAGAGGATATCTTGATTGGATGTTAGTGGAGATAATAGGGTGAGTTATCTTTACGAGCGAGGAAGTCCTAGCAAGCGAGTAAATCGAAGGTGAATCTGTATTATGGTGAAGACCCTAGGCATCGATCCTCTTTGGTGGTAGCATGGCAGTTGGGAGTGTGCTAACTTGGTAAGTGTGGAAGTTAATCTTGTTGACTGGGTGATTAGGTGTAATAATTGCTCATAAGGTTTGAGGGAGATTACAAAGTGACCGTTCTCAAACCTCTATCAAGGCGAGCAATCTAGCTGAGTGTATGTTGGCAAGTTTAAATTTGCCATGGAGTTTTGGTAAGCAATGTTGTGGCATGTCGTTGGCCTATTTTGATGACCACTTAAGATGGCAAACTATGGATGGTGAGCTTGTATAATGGTGCATTTGATTAATGATGTGGTGCATGTGTTGAGACACCTTATAAATCGACGAGTAATAAGAAGATGACTTGTTCTTGATGAGTTGAGGTGGTGATGTGTCATGTTTGGCAAACCTTGCTAAGGTTGTATTCTTAATGTAGGTTGATTTGAAACTACTACTAGAGCAACCAAATTCATTGGCAAAGATGCAAGAGTTTAGTATTGGGTGTGAAGTGCTTTAGATGTAATGGTGTGTATGCCTTGACGTAGTAGTGAGTGATGCGTGCTGGATGCATTAAATGTGTTGACATATGGGTCTTAACGTATATTAAATGTGGTGCACAACATGAGTGCATTGAGTGTATCTACGAAAAGTAAGATTTATATTTGTCTATATGCCTTAACACAAATTAAGTAATGATGCACAGAATGTGTTGAGGGTGTTGGTGCGAGAGCCTTAACATGAATTAGATGTAGCACACAGGGACATGTTGAGCTATTGACAAAAATTTAGGTCTATTTTCATCCATATGCTTTAACATAAACTAAGTAATTATGTGGATGTTGTGTTGAACGTGTTGGCACAATGGCCTTAGTGCAAATGAGTTATAATGCACAAAGGTGCTTTGAGCTTGTTGGCAGAAAATGGGGTCTGTGTTTACCCATATGTCTTAATGCAAATTAAGTAATGATGTGTAAAGCATGTATGCACAAGGGCCTTAATGTGAATGAAATGTGGTGTACATAAGCATATTAAGTGTTGGCAAAAAGTGGGGTCTGTGTTCGCCTATATGCCCTACTAAACGCTAATTAATCATGACAAGAATATGATAAAGGCGATAAGATGCATTCTTGTCTTTCATTTAAGAATTCCTGTACAAAAATGCTTATAAAGGGAGCATGTGGTGAAATACTTTACCATAATGAAAGACAAGATAACAATAATTAACATATCAATAAATCATAAACTAAAGAACTTGGTTGTTCAGTATAGAAGATTATTAGAGATAATACTTTTTCATGTGGATAGCATTCCATGTCCTTAATATCGGATTGCCCCCAAGTCTTGCAACCTATATGCTCCAAAAGCAATCACAATTGCAATCATGTAAGGACCCTTCCAATTTGGTGATAATTTCTTCCTTTCTTTAACAAGTTACTAGCTTCACTATTTTTTATTACCAAGTTGCTAACTCAGAAATGACAATGTTTCACCTTGGTATTCTAATATTTGGCGAACTGTTGAGCCTTGGTGGCCATGTGTATTTTGGTTAAGTCTCTGGTTTCTTGCAACAAATTCAAATTAGCCCTTAAGGCCTCTTCATTCAGTTTTGGGTTGAAATGCATTGTTCACAAAGTATTCATATCCTTTTTCTACGGTATTACAACTTTTGTCTCATAGCTTAGGCTGAATGGAGTTTCACCTTTCGCTAAATGATCCGTAGTTCAGATTGCTCATTATCATAACGTATAGATCCATGGTCTATCGCTAAACATACACTTAAAAAAGTCATCACCAATTTTTTTTAATTAGGTGTGATTGGCCACTTGACTGAATTTATCTTATTTAAAGAGGAGTCCCAAGATTGATTTAGGTTTTCTTAAATAGTAGATTCTAGTCTATGAAATCAAAGTCTAAGTTCAAGAGTACAGTTACTCATAATGAGGGTTATAGCGCATTCATAGTGCCCTTCGAAAAGATGGTACCAATTTGATTTCAGTTATTCAAATCGTAAAATATATTTATAATTTATCAAATAATGTTAATATTGAAAATTTTCCTAAAATTACTCAAATATGTTAGATAATAATTTAAGAATATTTTTTTATTTCAAAAGTATTCAAAAAGACTATTTGTCACGCTTTGAATAGACTCTATCGTTGGATTCATTTAATTTTGCTTTCAAAAATAAATTTTTATAAACCAAGTTTATGGTCAAAAATATTCTCCAAAATGTCGATAAGATTTCTTGTCAAAAATTATCCTTCAATATGTTAATAAGATTTTATAAAAAATAAAAAATATTATTTTATTTATTTTTTAAAAAAAATTATTTTTTTAGAGAAATTATAAAGCTTTCTAATATGTTGATAAAAACTTATTTTAAAAATAAAACATTGGCTATCCAATCTATTGGTAAGGCTTTTTCTCATAAAATTATTATTATTATTATTATTATTATTATTATTATTATTATTTAAAAAATTTTTAAATTTATAAGTTTTTCAATATGTTGGTAAAACTTTTTTAAATAAAATGGTAACCTTTCAATCTGTTAGTAAGGCTTTTTGAAAATTATTTTCTTTTCTTAAAATTTAATTTTTATTAAAAACTCATAAGATTCTTTAATATATTGGTAAAATCTTATTTTGAAAAGGAAATTACCTTCTAATATGTTGATAAAGCTTTATTTTGATATTTAAATCATTTAATAATTTGATAGGATTTAATGAATTGGCTACAAAAATTTATTTTAAATATGCATAAAAGAAAAAGAAAAAAATAGCTAAGTAAAATAACTAGGTATATAAATAAACTAAAAATAGAAATTACAAAATAAATTGGGCAAAAGCCCAATATAAGCCAAGACAATCACCAAATAAATAGGTATGTAAATATCCATGTATGGGCAAATAGAATGGGCTAAAGCCAAAAATAATGCTAAGCAAATTTCAAACTTACTCCACGAGGTTGGTGAGAAACCAAGGCCAAATTAATTCAAATCTACTCAACTATTTTAATCCTTCTTTTTCTTCTAGTAGTCAGTAGTCAGGGCCCTCATTTTTCTAAAAACCCAGAATGGATCACCAAAGACAATCCAAAAAACCAACGATTCTGAAATCAAGAAAAATAATCCTAATAAATTTTTTAACTCACCCCTGGGTTTCATCCCCAAAAACTAATCCCCAAATTCCCTATAATCAAACCACTACAATTTTCACTCATTATCTCTCTCTTTTTTTTTTTAACTCCCTCATTATTGTGTGTTGGAATGGGATTTATATAGGGAATAAATTCCCTTCAATTAATTCAACCGAATTTGTGATGATTTGATCTTTTGTGATTTGATTTGATTTTTTGTAACTTTCTTTTTTCATAAAGATTAGGAAAAATATCCAAAAAATTATTCAATCAAATAATCTGCCTTTGATTTCCCTTTGTAAAATCCCATGATTTTCAAACTTTCCATTCTTTTTGTTCATCTGATTATCTTTTTTTTTTTATTATTTTACCCTTAGACTGTAGACCAAAAATCATCATTAAAATTACAATCCAAAATAAAGCTAGAAACTAGAATTTAAATTTAAATTTAAATTCAAGTTATAATTAAAATTAACATCACATTAAAATTAAAATTATGGGTTTTATTCTTTTAGGCCCAAATCTTCCCAATCAAAGCCCAATTTATTATTGAAGGACCACTTTGATTTCGAAAAAGTTTTTTGGATGAAATAGGTTTTCTACAACTACCCCTATTTGCACAATTTTTATAAAGTAAGAATTGTGCAAAAACATAAATACCCATTATGTTTAGGCGCAAATTAATCAATTTTTTCTAAAAAGAATCCTCTAAATAGAGGCATACGACTTTCAAAAAAAAATTTAAATAACCCCTATAAATAGAGACTCAACAATTTTAAATTAAGAAATATACTCATTTATATAGAAGCTAAACAACTTTAAAAATTTTAAATAAGAAATGTCAAAAGACATCCATTTTGCTCGGGTCCAAAAAATTTCAAGATTTTTAGGTTGAAATCCAAATATTCATAGTTTGAAAATTCAATGGTTCATCATTAAAAAACTTCAAAGATTCACAAGGTTCCATTTGAAGATTCCAAGACTCCAAGATTCACAAAAACAAATCATAATGATTTCCTAATAAAGTCAAAATCTTGTATGCAATAAATGCCATGATATAATGAAAATAACTTCCAAATGATGCA